ACATGGAATACAAACATCAAGCTGAAGAAATGGGAAACAAATGATAAACAGAATATCTTTTTCAGCTGCTTCCAGATAATTCCAAAAGGGGGGATCTATTGTATGGGGTTAGTATAATTCCATTGGATTCAATTGAGAAAGTATTGCGAGGCAAGAAACGGTATGCTGCAACTGAGTCAATGTTTGCTGGTTCAAGCAGCAGGTCCTCGTCCCAATCCAACTTTCCGACAACGGCCGCACATTGATATAAGGAGAAGCGAAAACGAGTCGTGGGAAGGTTGAGTCTCTTGGGGTATAGGTTGACAATTGGTGAGCAGAAAATAACATGTTTTATCTCTTCTAGATGGTTTTTGTACATGTATATCTGCTTCACAATGCCATACTTCAGCTTACCACCAAGCTTAGCAACCACACAATTTTGTGGTTCTAAACAGGATACCCTGACATCTCCACACAAAACAGACTGAACAGGTGTTGCATACCCAGATAGAACCGGCAATCCACGTGGTATTGGGAACTCGTCTCGATGCCTTAATGATGGATGTTGTCTCCTTACCCAGCTGAATAGCTTCCCGTAGACTGCGTCAGAGAGGTATATAGAGGCAGGTGACTTTGCTGTTTGAGATTTATTGTTTTCGCCATTGGTCTGGAGGAATTCTTTGTATCCAGGCTTGTCAATCATTTTTTGTAATTGGCATCCCCGAGTCATCATTGTTGCATTCATCTGGTCTGAAAAAAGAAAATATATATTAAGTAGATGTTGTCACTAGATGTTGTACCTGAGTACGTATTGAGATTGCACCCACCAATCAAATTGTTTGTCTTGATTTTTTGCAAAAATCCAATGAGTCTCTCCCCTGGAAATTCAGAGAGACAGACAACAGGCCCCCATCGCCGCAATTGAGTTGTATAATGTAAAGCGTAGTGGTGATTCGGTTGTACCTTCACGCCTTTGAAGAGTTCGCCAACAGTGTCACTGTATTTTCTGTAGTGTGACTCAAATCGTTTGATGTGGAGGTCGTTAATTTTCCTAGAGCAGATAATTCGAGTGCATGAAACTAGATTTCCTGTGTTGAAGAGAAAATTTGATAGTTTTGGTTGACTGTCAATATTTCCAATTTCGGTTATGTAGAGATCAAAGATAACCAATGGGATGATGTATGAGAAGAGGGTAAACCACTGTGATGCCTTCAGTCGTCCATGACTCTCTTCGCCAAGGTTTGGGGGTAACTTGTCAAGACCATGTGGTAGTATGACCTCCTTCATACTGCGACGGAAAGTTTTGATATCGTTCTGAGAGAAAAATGAACCATCTGGACCACCATCAAGGACAAGATCTGTGTCGCTTTCATCTGAGCTGTCCTCCAGTCTGGAATTTTCAGAGGTCTCGTCCAAAGACATTGCAGATGCGGCGCCACCCAATCGTGTCCGCTTTCTTCTTGATTGTGCATAAGCAGAACGTCTTCGTTTTTCGGATTCCTTCTTGGTGATTGATTTGAAACCCCATCGATATCGGAAATGAGCTTGCAAGATCCCTTCGAGCCAATTGTGCAAGACACCAAGCACAATGTTATCAGACGGATTCCAGTAGCTTAGGCGGTTGAGTTCTGACCATCGTACACCTGACTCTTTGAGAAGATTCTCTGATTCCGTGCTTGACTTTGAATCCTTGGCCAATTGGGCTGCCGCTAGTGTCGCATCCTTTGACCTGTTTGGTCCACGTTGCAACATTCCAAGATCATTCAATTTTTCTTTGCAGAATGAGCAGAAGTATTTTGCAGAGTGAGA